AGCTCTACATTCTGTAAAAGAGAATAGCAATATGACAATGCCAGAACCTACCATTTCCTACTGATTAGCTGGGCACTCAGGGTTCTTCATAGCATAGCTTCTACCTTTTGGTTTTCCATCACTTCCCTCCATAGTCCTAACTTGATCTAAACCAGATTAATCTTCATTCCCCACACATGCCACACACTCTCCCATCTTTAAGGAATTGCTGATACCATCTACTAATTCAAATACTCTTCCCCCCTGTCATTTCTAGCTCTTAAAGTCCTATCCAAAATTCACTCAAGATGCTATGTCCATGCTTTGGATTCAAGATGACTGACTGAGCACACATTTATGGTCACCTTTCTCCAAGTCTTTATGAATTTTATGAAAAAGTTAATTGTAAGTAAATGAGGAATCAATAGTAGTAATAAAAAGACATTGATAAACAATGTATATTAGAAAGTCTCCACACATTCTATTCTACAAGGAAAATAAATGCTTTAGTATACTCAGAAATACACTTATACTACTTAATGTGCAAGATCTATGTAAAGAAAACAACAAAACTTTACTGGTGGATGTAAAAAAGGCTGTAGATAGGAAGCTTATATTATAACAGTGTCAATTCTGGCTAAATAAATTTACAAATTAAAATAAATTATAAAAATCCAAGAATAATTTTCATGGAAATTGATAAAAGTACTTTTAAAAGAAGACCGGGGAGAGGTCAATGGGTGAAAAAGGAGACTTAGGTAATGCTTTAAACAACAAAGAATTAAAAAAATTAAAAAAAATAAATAAAATAAAAGAAGAAAAGTATAAGAATAGCTGAATGACTTTTAAAGTTTAGAAGAATGGGGTTAGCTTGCTCTATAGATATAAAAATACACTCAAGATCTACAGTCACTAAAACAGTGTGATACTGACTAGAACATCAAATAGATTAATTGAACAAAAGAGACTATATATCTTAGGGAAATTGGTAAATGGCTTCTAAAATTTATATAGAATATCTAAGACAAGAAGAGTCAGAATTCTCCTAAAGCATACAGTGGGAGTACTTGATCTTCCAGACATCAAGGCAGATCATAAGGAATTATAAAGAAAACCAGAAAATCATAAGGAATGACTGTAGCACCAACAGTGGTTCTGGTGCAGAAATAGACAAACAGGTGGATAGGATTGGAAGCCCAGAGAGAATGCACCCACATCTGGATAAGATTGATAACAGAGGAAGAGACATGCATATTAATTCAATATGTGCCAAAAGTGACATTTTAAAATCACTTTGTTTAATAAATAGTGCTGAAGCTGGAAGGAAGGGTTGCAGATTTGGCTGCAAATGAATATTAAAACATTCCAATGGCCACGGACACCACAACAACTTGGAGAAAATATTCACAACACATACAAGACACAAATGGCTAATATCCATAACACATTAAGAATGCCTATCAATGTAGGAAGGAAATACGGGAAGTCAACACATAGAATAAAAGATGTAAATAGTTGATACATATAAAAAAATAACCAACTTTATTAGTCACTCGTAAAGTGCAAAATAGAAACAATTAATATATAATATGAGGGACATTGAAAATAATCCCAGTATAATTACTTGTGCAATTACACATTAAACTTAGTAGATGGTGAAATAATCACTAAACATAAAAATTAAGGAAACCATTGCAGGCAAGGCTTCTTCTAGCTTTACCATTCTTAGTGTGTAACATACACCCTCAGAGTCTCAAGATGACTGCTCTGCCCCAGACATCACATCTGTGTTCCAGCAATGGCGAAGGAGAGAATGGCAAGAGGAAAACAGTACATGCCAGTGAATCTGACCTGCTCATCAGTAATACTACACTTTCCCCAGAAACCTTGCTCCCTGGAATTACACTTAAATCTTATTGACAAACTGTGTCACCCTTAGGGAATTGGGGTGGAATGTTCTATTTATTTATTAAGAGAACATTTAGTGGGTTTCTTTTTTTAGGAGTGCATTTTTTAAATGAGCATATTTCTGTTCCAAACTAAATTGTGGTTCTGTTAATAAGCAAGAAGTGGAGCATACATATCGCTTAGACGACTGGCGGTGTCTACGGTGTGAAGGAAGCAGCTAGAAGGGTGCCTGGTACGTCATACTTACTCAAATATTAGTTAGATAAAGGAATTGGGACTTTCATATTAAATCTGCATAACCCCCAGGATGACAGTGAAGGGGAATCGAGAGCCGAGCCCCAGCTCCAGAGGAAACTAGTCCAGAGGGAACAAAAGGCCGCCTGAGAGATTTAAGATGAAATGGATGCAACTATAGATTCTACTTAATGTCTTTGAAAATGCCTAGAGCAGATTCAGACAGAAAGCTTGACGTAGTTAGTCATAAATGTCTAGAATTGTGCTGCTCAGCACTATGGCCACCATCCACATGTGACTATTTATGTTTAGATTAAGCAAAAAATATAAAACCTCAGTCCTGTGGTCACCCTAGTCACATTTTGAATGCTTAATAGCCGCATGTGGCCAGTGGCTACCACATTGCATGGTGCTTATAGAGAGCATTTCCATCATGTAGAAGGCTCTACTGGATCCTGCTTGTCTAGAAAAATTAAGCCAAGGGAGGGAAAAAAAAAGAGAGAAAGAGAAAAATCCCAGCTCCCAGAAAAACAAACCCTTGTGCAGGAAACAAAAGATAATCACAATATATGGGTTTCAGCTGTTAATAGCATTTTGCTAAGCATAATAATGTAAACATTCTGAATTACATAAGTGTTACCAGGATAAAGGGATGTGAGATGAGATTTGTGTCTCATGAGAATGGGGGGGTTTATATGAAACTTCATCTTCCAAGGTGGGAACTTAACAGATAATGCTTATGATTGAAAAAATCAGCATAGAGCAATATAGACCGGTTGTTAAATGTGTAGAGATAAATAACAAAAGATAATAAGCCTTGCCAAATGATTTAGTTCTTAAATGATGTGCAGATATAATTTTATTAAAATAATTAATAAAATCAAATAAACTGCAATGACAAAGACCCAGTTGCAATGCTATCTCCCCCATGGAATCATTTCTGGTCTCCTGACACCACACTTCTGCACTCTGCTCTCTAGGAAAGCATCCCCTGAAGCTTTGCTATTGGCACTTTGCTTTGCTTTGTCGTCAGTTACACAGGTTTCTAGTCAAACTCCTATTGATTCATAAATTCTTAGACTAACGAATGTCTGATTTCGGAAACCTTGTGATATTTTGGTATTTCAGTCTAATACAGATTAAAGTGCAAAGACTCTATTAAAGTGTGAATTATGGTAATAACATCAATTATAACAGCCATCATTTACTGAGCACTTGCTAAGGCATGTGATCAGAACCTACTGATAAATCAGGGCACCCGTTTACTCTTCCACAGAAGAGAATATAGGTAGGCTGGAAAAATGGATAGAGCTGCTCTTTCCTCCCTAGAGGGCACAATTCCAGATTAGCATTCGAATGTGTATGTTTATCTTTACTTTATATATTATTGTACCATATGTTATTTAAAAAACGGGGCCTGCCCTAACAGGTTTGGCGTCGGCCTGCAGACTGAAAGGTCCCAGGTTTGATTCCGGTCAAGGGCATTTGCCTTGGTTGCAGGCACATCCCAGATGGGGAGTGTGCAGGAGGCAGCTGATCGATGTTTCTCTCTCATCGATGTTCCTAACTCTCTATCCCTCTCCCTTCCTCTCTGTAGAAAATCAATAAAATATATTTTAAAAAAATAAAAAAATGGGGCCTGTATTATTTTTTAATTTAACAGCATCTTTTAAAACACATAATGAATAGTAAGTCACAATTCTTCTAGTATGCAACTACCAAGTGAAAGATCTCATATTGACACATATCCTTCAGTCATAAGACCTGTGAGAATAATACCAAATGAACAGGTATAATTAGTAAACATGAAAATGATGTTCAATTTTATTTATGACCATATGAACCACAGAAGGGGGAGAAACACATATGTTTAAAATATGAGTTTACTTCCTAACATTTAACTCAAAAGTAACTGTTACCATATGTTTAGTCTCTATCTATATCAAGATATGGGTAACCCACAGGAGTTTTGCCTTAGTACAGAAGAGTGGAGAGGGATTAAATCCGTGAAAATTGTCTTTAAGTTGAAAATTTTCAGATAATTTTTTCAAAGTCAATGGCCTACATTCCGACTTGCCTAATAGAGCATTATCTTCTCCCAGTAATTTACTGATTTTATTTTATCTGCTCTTGCTGTTCAGAAATTGCACCTTTGTGTCTGCATTCACACTTTGCTTCTAGGAGCCATCTGAGTAAATATAAAATCAGTAACCGTCACATATGAGAGAGGCTCTATATTTCTAGCAGCCAGCCTTACCGAGGGAGAGAGAAGATAATGAATGTGATCTTGGCATACCCTCCTGGGTTAGGAATAGAAAAATGATGGGGCCTGGTCTCTTTAATTACACCCTATGGATAGCTTCTCTAATGTCACCATCAAATAATTTCACTTATCACCTCATTTTGTTACATTTAAAAAAATTATTTTTGCCAACTTGGTGCTTTCTGGGTCTTATTCCTCTATTTCTTTCACATCAGTATCTGCGGCTCTCCTGTTGAGCTGTATGGGAGTGAGCATGTTTACCTCTGTGAAGATTGGACAAATGATGTGAAGAAAGCAGTGACAGAAGGGTCAGAGCCCCTCAAAATCATGCTTATTTTCTTCCAAATTCTTTTGCACGAATATGGCTTTAAACAGGGCTGCAGTAAATGAGAGATTTCACATAAATTTGAACCCCACATGCTGGAAGTTAGGCAAAATTTCGCTACATTTGAATAGTTCCAAGCAAGCAATTTGTTACCCTTTATCCTTTAGTGAAATTGATGAACAGGTGGTTTTCAGAAGATCACTCAGTATATTTAGCTTCTGAAATTTGAGCAACTCAAGATCTGATTGGTTGCTCTGGCCACATGATAACTGGGAGCCCAGGCACCACGCTGGCTCTTGCTTGGGGTTCTCAGGAGGGGAGAGTTGGGAGAGGCATTGCTGCTGAGGAAATTTATGTGATAGATTGAAGGTAAGGCCCGTTTATGGCTTTTTCTGTAATGTTCTTGCAGGAGACGTGCCATAACTTCCCTTGAAGTATTTTCGGAAGTTGTGGCTCATATCTGGGGAAATTGGCGATGGAAACGGTGACTAGGAAAGTCTGTAACGCCGTCGCCGTACCCAGGCCCTACTAATATCTGACACGTAGTGTGTGGTTAGAATCAAGTCTGACACTAACCAATTTATTGCTTAACTGAGCTGGCTCTCTGGTGTAACAAGATCTTTTCATTTTTTGCCGTTGATTTTTTTCTAACTATATTAGTACGGAAAAAGGATCCTATATTTATCCTTTTCTACTGGGCTTCATTTGCCTCAGGAGTGGCAGTTTTGCTAGCTTAACAAAACCAGCCACAGCAGGGTATAGGTTTACATGGCAAATATGTCTGGGCCCAGGGACAGCTGCTCCAAGTCATCATCCACTTTTATCAAGAGAGTTCCACTCCCTGGCGTCTGAGGACAAAGGTCTTGGGAGACCCTTTCGTTGGTGCCCGAATTAGAAGTTTAGGCCCAAGACCCTCCGTCTTACGCGTCCTTCAGTCAGTGCATCAACAATGTGTTCTTTTCCAGGTTTGAACGAGAGCTACAGAAACGACAGAGAAAAGTCCACACGAGCCAATGGTGTTCGGGAGGAAAATAAACCCATTGCCTTGAGGTTTCTATTTTTCTTTTAAAATCTGTTGGCAGGTTCATTTTGCTATGTTCTCATTTGAAGCATAAGATATACTGTGTACCGTGTATCAGAGCATATGGCGACCTAAGCAGCCCTCTTAGAATCTTGGTGTTACGGGTGGGAAAATGACAATTTCTTCCAAAAGCTAAGCCGACCTTCCTTTTGTTTGGAAATGTTTCTCTCCAAGTATTTGGAAGTTGAAGGACTCTGTTCCTTTGATTTAAGTCCTCTCACTCCCTTCCCCACCCCCACCCCCCACTTTGTTTTACAACTTGGACTAAGTTGATCGTGTAGCCACAAGCAGCTTCAGTTTTTCAAACCTGCACTTAAATATCTTTTCTCACTTAGCCTGCAAACATATACGTACGTGTAGAACGGATAAGATTTTAAATCCTGCTTTTATAATGTTGTAAACTGGTTTCAGTCCTGGGGATAGATTCTAACGTGTCTTCATTTGTCTGGAACACGAGCAGTGTGTAGGTGCCACTGCTACTCTGAGAAGATGGCAGATGACGAAGAATATGAGGAGGTGGTGGAGGTAAGTTACAAACACTGACTCCCACAGAAAGCATTTTACCTAGCAACAGTCAAAGCCCTGTAGGTGAGTTAACCATTTGAAAAATACAATGCCTATTGTAACTTCACAAGAGTCATCATGAAAGCATGAGAAAGGAATATTTTACGTTCAGTTCCACTATCATTGTGTGGGATTTAAAATTGAAAAGAACTATCACTGTTTCCCACTTTTGCTTTTCTTTAAACTCTCAAAAACCAAACAAAACACAAAGTGTAGGGTAAAGGCAGATTTTAATTTGTCTTCTAACTAAAACTACCTTCTCCCCCACTTTCCAACCTTAAAGGGACAGAGAAGATGGAGAAAAACTTCTGGAAACTGAATTCTATTTCTTAGTGTCTGCAAAGAAATAGAAGAAAAACTCTTTACGTCAAGCAGCTGATTATCTCTAGGGAGATATGAATTAAATGCATATGTGAGATTTTATATACATGTGCATGTACATGCACACACATATAAAAATAAACTCACCCCTGGCCAAGTGTCTCAGTTGGTTGGAACGGCCACTGTAAAACAAAAGGTCATGGGTTCAATTCAACAAAAGGTCACGAGATCAATTCCCAGTCAAGGCACATACCCAGGTTACGGGTTCAATCCCCGGTCATGGTGTGTATGGGAGGCAACCAATCGATGTTTCTCTCTCAAAAAAAAAAAATTAAAAAAAATCAGTGAGCAAATAAATAAGTTAACTCAGGATGCTCCCAGTAAGAGTTGGAGCCACAGTTTCCCACCAACTCCATTGCATTTACCCAAGGGAACAATACTAGCTTTGCATTTGAATTTTGAAAAAGAACAAAGACCACAGTGGCATCTTGAAAAATTCCCTCCAGATTATTGGTGGGCGTCTAACATATTTTACAAAGTTGCTGTTTATTTATATAATTTATATAATTTTGTTTTTATCATGTTATGGTTTTTCTTCACCAGCTCTTGCCTTTAGTTTCACATCCATATAAATATACTGCCATTGAGTATAAAAGTGGTTAATAATTACTAATTAATGGTGATATAAATACATACATGAATTTGGAGGCAGTTTTGAAAATCTGCGCTTTAAAAAAATGAAAATAACTTTAAGAGCTACCTAGAATCAAATTTCAAATGGAAATGCCAAAATTTGTCTTTGGAAGATTATTTTATGGACCAGTCTGTATTTCTTTCTTTGTTTGTTTGTTTGTTTTTGTTAATTCTTACCTGAGGATTTTTTTCCCATTGATTTTGTTTTAGAGCAAGTGGAAGGGAGGGAGTGAGGGGAAAATAGAGAGAGAAAAATCGATTTGAGAGAGATACATTGATTGGTTGCCTTCTGCACATGCCCTTGACTGGGAATCGAACCCATGAACCTGTGGTGTGTGGGCCAATGCTCTAACCACTTAGAAACACTGGCCAGGGCAAGACCAGTCTATATTTAGATGAAGAAACTTTTATTTCATTCTACAAATAAAGTTGCTTTTATTACTGAAACACACACACACACACACACACACACACACACAACACAGAATGAATCTCATCCAATATAGCATTTAAACTCTCTGGCTTCAATGCCAAAGGCCACATTTGTCAATGTTCAAAATTATCACTAGTGTGTATTTCACATATGTCTCTAAAGGGTATCAAACACTAACACAATTATAAAGTAAATTGCCTTTCCTATGATGCTAAAACCAGGAATACTTTTTAACTTCCAACTTAAACATCCCTTGACCTTTTTAATATAATTGTGTTCATCGGTCACTGAAAACTGTCCTTAGCAATGGACTCAATTGATTTAACGAGATGTCATAAAAATGGAGGGGGTTATTTTTAGGCCTCTCGTCCTTGCCATTTTGTTCCCATTACTGCTCTGGGCCTGACCAGCAGGTGCTAAACTAATCGACTTCCTGCCAGAGAGTGTTGACCCAAGGTCTCTCTGACCTCAAAAAAAGATGACACGAGAATGGGGTGGTGGCAGATTTGAGAAAGCAGTCAGGGGAGAGTTCACAAAAAAGGCAGGAATTTGCTTTTAAAATACATTTCCTAAGGATCTCGGACATCTAAATAAAATTGTACTGTCACTCTCTACTCAAATTTAAATGAACTTGGAAAGAAAGAAAAAGAAGCAAGCCATGTGCTGTCTAATTAGTGGCAAAGCTCTTTTAAAAAGTGAGGTTTGTCATACAAGTTAACGCCAACCATTTGGGTAACGTTGTCTTTTTTGAAGCTTATTTCTAGGATACATTGACCAATCATGCGAGTCCAGCAAAGGTAAAAATTGGATGGCTACCAAAGACCTGCTTTCATTTGGATGCTAGCAAAAATCCAAAACAGTTATGAATCATTCATTTAAGTTTAATATTTCTCCTCAAGTCACTGATGTTTTGTGTGGCCAGAGGAATGGTTCCATTGGATCTGCATCAAGTAGCATTCCCCACAGTGTCCGAATGACATTTCTCAGGGATGAGGCACCAGCATGTGGAAGACATTCTCGGTCTTATAAGCGCTGTGATTTCTGTTGCCTTGTGTAAGGACACAGAGATGGAGTTAGATTTAAATTTTCAAAAAATAGTAAAGGAGTAAAGAAAGTGCAAGAGTGAGGGACATGAGGCAAGGTTTATACTAATTTTACTGCAAGTGAAATGGAGCATGTGGCCTATTGACAATGGGTAAATGAACTTGTTGAGAGTTCGCTGAGCCAAGGGCAGAAGACCAAAGGCCACCGAGGGAAAGTTTTTGTTCAACGGTTTTTCATTTCCCCGAGTATATGTTTTGGTGACAAAGAAAAGAAAAATGAAGTAGAAAACCTATACATTTTTTTTTGACTGAGAAAACGAGCCAAGTGTTTCATTTTCATCCCCTTCCTGTGTGCCTTGGCCTAACTCTTCCTCCTGCTCGCCCACCGTGGTGGGCTGAGGCTAGGGGCAGGATGCCACTCTCCTTACGCATCTGAAACAAAATGTCAGCCAGTTCCTATCCTCGCCTATTTATTGCTGGTGATGTCAGAAGTAGAACAAAAGTAGGTTTGATTTCAGGGCCCGGCTGCAGGCACCTCTGAGCCATCAGTGGCACATTGCTGCCCAGCTCCCACATTTTGTGACGAGGAATCTCTCCTTTTTTCCTTCACTCTTGGGCATTTGTAAATGTTCCTTTTAATACCCCTCTATGATCATCACACCATTGGAAGGGATTTGCTTGTCACTCTGGAAGAAGCTCATGACTTAGCAATCACGGTGATATAGGGATCATTGAGATGTGCCTGTGCCTTTGGATCTATTATTTCCACGATACAATCCACTTAAATATTTTGTGCACACTAAGGTTTCTGTTATGTTTTATTATTAGTTAGCTAACAGTGAGTTTCATCAGAATTTCTCTCTGCCTAACTCACACACTCCAGGTGTTGTTATTACATTCTTTTCCCAGCACATTCTACTTGGGTGCGAGAAGAAAAAACGTTACTTATACCAAGTAAAATAGCGTTCCATGACTAGTAACTGTCCCCAGACACCTTTCTCATCATTCAGCATCTCCTTGTCCAGTCTGATGGCATCCACTTCAGCTTCCCCAAAGTTTTGCCGACTTAAAATGGGGTCCAGAATATGAACAGGCTCCCTCTTCTGCTTCCTTCCCCACATGTAGCAAATCAAAGTGGGCTAGTGAAATAACCCAGGTGGCATAGTGGAGGCAGAGGAGAGGTGTTTCTGCTTTGGTTCTCATGACCACACCTTTGTGCTCTATTTATAGTACTACACCGAGGAGACAGTCTACGAAGGGGTGCCGGGTGAGGTAAGACCCAGCCCACACCTGCATGAACTGCATGCTCATTAAAGCAGAGAGAGCCACAGAGCAGGCAAAGGGAGGATCTGAGGGAGGACCACTGACCCATGTGTGCTCGGCAGCTGGGCGTACAAGAATGAATGCTACCTGTTTGACAGATTTTATCTCCATTTTTGCCATTCAACCTATCCAAGATGCTGGGGGATGGTTCCCCCCATAGTTCATGTGTTATTTTTGATGCAGGTGATGCTAATTAGAGGAATGTCAGTGGCTATCACCACTCTGACTGCAGCAAAGGGATGGCCTTGAACTTGTAATTCACTTTGGGACCAGCAGGTGTGCTGTGTAGAGTTGTAACTTGCTGGAGACCATCTCTGCCAATAGGGATGGTGCCTCTAACCCTTTGTCCTTGGCAGTATCATAAAATGCTACTTAAACTTCAGCACATAAGGAATTCTGAGAAAGCCATTCCCATATCCCAAATTGAAGCATTTTCTCCCAACATGAAATATCTCGCTCATGCCTCATTTTCTGCATGGAGATGTTCTCTTGAGTATGACAAACAATGATATGGATGACTAACCCTAAAGCCTACTCAGAGAACCTGTGACTTCATGGAAACTAACATCTGTAGATGCTATAAATTGGTTAGTTTCTCATGGTCAACCACACATCTATATCTATAAAAGCCTAAGCAACCCAAAGACAGAACAATAGGTCAACTGGTTGCTATGACGTGCGATGACCACCAGGGGGCAGACGCTCAACACAGAAGCAGCCCCTGATGGTTAGTGCGCTCCCACAGTGGGAGTGCCGCTCAGCCAGAAGCCGGGCTCAGGGCTGGCGATCGCAGCTGCAGCAGCACAAACCTCTCCCGCCTCTGCTGCAGCGCTACCTGAGTGGTGGCTGCAGCAGGCGCATTGGGACCAGGATGAGCCGGAGCAACACAGCGCCCGGCCCCAGCTCCTCTCTGGCCACCTGCCACTTCATGCACTGCTACACCCCTTGGGGAATGTCAGACTGCCAGTTTCGGCCAGATCTCCACAGTGGGAATCTGGCCGAAACTGACAGTCTGACATCCCCCGAGGGGTCCCAGATTGCAAGAGGGCGCAGGCCAGGCTGAGGGACCCCACCAGTGCACGAATCCATGCACTGAGCCTCTAGTCATAAATAATGAGCAGAAAGCAGCCTATTAACAATGGTCTGACAACACTAGGGAAAGTTGTCTTAGATACACAATTTCCTTATTACTTAGGTTTCTCTTCTCAAAATTGATGCTAGAACTTTGCCTTTGATCAGGTGGTTTTAGCTGTAAAGAAAATTATTTTATGAGATTGATTGAAGACTTGGCTGCTTATTGTCTTTTCTTACATACAGTATTTTTAACCTTGGACTAGACCTGAACTTTGGACCTTAGTTTCTTCCACTACAGCTTTTTGAAAGAAGCAGTAATTTCCCACCTACCACCCACATAGGCCTGTTGTGAGGATAATTACCCCATTATCTCATCATCATTATTCCTGTCTTTTATTAGTATAAATGGCATTCCAGTTCACATTAACTAACTTACTAAGCCAAGAGCATGGTAATCACTTGTAATATTTATGTGATTCATTTTTTTTATAAAGTTCATTATTCTTTATCTCATACTACAGGGGAGAATGCTTAAAAATCTGCAGAATAAGCAACCAACTTATCCTTAGACTTACTAGTATTTAAAAGTTAATATTAAAGTCAAGAATCTGAGCTTTATTTTATTGTCTTAATCTTTTGTTCTCTGATCCCAAGATTGCTTTTACTTTACTCAGTCAATTTAAAAATATTTTTAAATATTTAAGAATACTTTACTTCTTTTTAAAATGCCACCTTAAAGTGTTTGAGTTCCTTTCTGCAAGTGGAATTTTAAGGCAATGTTGTAAATTAATAAGAAGCAACAGTTCTACTCCATGCAATCTTGAACAATCAGGAGTATGTATATGACATAATGTGCTTTCAAATGGATATAGTGTGTGATTTTCTGCTTTGGCCTATTTTAGTTATGGAGAAGTAACACCAGGGATATAAGACAGAACACTAAGATCATGCTTACCGCAGTTTTACTTTTATAACAATGTTGAACTGTATGTCAAATTTTCAGACAATAACAGAAATCTACGAAACTACGACAACAAAGACAATATCTGACTATGAGCAATCACAACCTTCGAAACCAGGGCTGGCCCAGCCAGAAGCAGCAAAGCCGGCGGAGAGGAAGAAGGTTATCAGGAAGAAAGTGGACTCTTCGAAGTTCATGACTCCCTACATTGCACACAGTCGGAAAATGCAGGACCTCTTTAGCATAGTAAGTTCAACGTGACTTCTGCTAACCTGGCTTAATATAGAGAACTGACTGATCTCAACCAACTCTGTTTTGGATGCTGGCTGGATTCTGCTCCTTAACCATGTATGGAACAAAATTATTTTGAAGAAATATAAACTCTTTCGAGTCTTGAATTTTCTTTTCCTGTAATTTATTTGTACCATTGCAGCATCAGGAAAAGCATCCTTGTTGAAATTATTCCTCCAAAATAAGCATTAGGCCATTTATAAAGCACTTATTGGTATTTAATCACAATTAGTTAGCCAATCTAGAAAAATGAAATCATAAATACAGATTTAGTTGGCATCAGATCACAGAAGCTACTAATAAATAGCATCTATTTAAATAATGAGCAAGATGCCTCTTAAGTACGTCTCTAAGAGATGGATGGTGAAGAACATGTAGCTTAGAAAACCAGGATCAGACTAAGAAACTAAGGATCAGAATGTTCCTCTGTACCCTAGAAGAGTGGTTTTGAACTCTGGCTGCACGCTTATAATCCCCGGGGAGCTTTAAAACTACTGATTCCCCGGGCCATTCTGGTTTGGTCAGTCTGGGTTTGGAACCAGTGTAGAAGGATTTTTCAGGTGATTCTAAGGTGTGGTCCACGTTAGGAATCACTGCTCTTGATGGCCCCTAGTCATTAAAGTTCTGTAAGTTACACTGATGGGTAGCAGAATCAGGCCCATTGGAATGGATCTAATTTGTTGATTGTCTATGGTGGGCTGAAGTCTCACTAGGTAGCCTGATTGCATGTCCTCTGGAGGCTCGGGGAAAAAATGTAAAGTATCTCAGGGAACATTGGTTTATATAAGACTAATGTTTAGTAGTATGTCAAAAGCATCCTGTTGTTGTTGGGCAATAAATATTTACTGTTGGTTGAGTGTTAACTTTGGGGAACTATTGAGTAAACTTCTAGTTCAGATTCTTGAATGATCTAAAACTTAGATTTCTAAAAGTAAGATAACCTTGCCTTTCTTATCTCTGTAGTATTGAGCAAAAATAGAAATTATTTTTGTCAACTAATTGCCATAAAAATCTCATTAATTCAGACACTGATATCCTAGAATTTCTGGTAGACTGAGCAGAATGCTGGCAAAGGTTTTTAATATTTTAAAAGTGGTTAGTAACTAAATCAATAATATAATTTAGATTGGTGACTACTCCACTCATAAATACTCTTGAAACATTAATAATGATAAATTATGCATATTATATATAAGGCAAAAACTCATTGTATATTTAGCAGAAACAATAAAACTGCATTTTTTTTTTCAAAATACTCCATAATGGAGATTTTCCATTGATTCAGGTGGCATGTCAGCTATCCTAATCACTGAGATTTAGCTGCAACTTCTGAATTGAATATTTTTGCATTGTATTAGCAATTAAATCTTTTCACATTTGGTTTTATTTCTGTATTTATTTTCTAAAATTATTGCACTTCAAGCTTTTTATGTGTGCACTCAGGCAACAAAAAACATTAAGAGAGTCATTTTAGAGCATTTTCAAGACAATTGTCTGTAATACCATTTCTACTGTCTCTATTAACAACCATGTTTAGGAAGAGCAATTAACAAATCTATGTTAGTGTTTGCTGAGAATCAGAGTGGGAGACAAAAAAATGTTGTTAAAACTGATAATTGTTATAACTCGCAGATTTTTTTATCAGATGGGAATGAATGCATTGCCTGAAATTTCTGCTGCTGCATTATAAGATTTTAGGCTAATATCTGATATTCTTTTCAGAATAAATACAAGGAAAACTATGAAAAAGGAAAAGGACAGCCATCCACCAGCACAACCGATACCCCAGAACTTCGCAGAATCAAGAAAGTACAAGACCAACTCAGTGAGGTGGGCGGCATTGCTAAAATAAAACACAGACACATATAAAAATATGCCTACCACTGGGAATTGGCTTTAAGTAGGAGTGGAGAGAATAAGGGGCTGAATTACTACGAGCCAGTTCAGGAATCCAGAGGAAACACTGGCCATAGATGCTGCTGCTCTAAATGTGAACCCAAAGAGGCTTCTAAAAGCTTGGTTAGAGAGTTAACTTAAAAAGTGATGTGCTTTGGAAGTTCCAATTCACTGTGGTCCTCCCTCGTGGAGCACAGGGAGGCTGAAATTCAGCCAGGAAAGCAGACACACAGTGAATACAGGGGCTCTGCAGATCTTCAAACATCATAGTTTTCTACCAGAAATAAACTTTGCTTTGTGATGCAGACAGAGTGATTGGGTGGATACTCTTTGGTGATAAGATATTCTTTGATATACTCACATGGTCATGCCTGTCCTGAATTCTAACTGTGCATTATTTCTGCAGGTTAAGTATCGAATGGATGGTGATGTTGCAAAAACTATCTGTCATGTAGATGAAAAAGCAAAGGACATTGAACATGCAAAGAAAGTGTCGCAGCAAGTCAGTAAGGTAAGGCCATGGGATGGATGGCTGGATAGAAAAGAGTGTATATTGCCTTAGAGGAGGGCACCGGACAGGCCTGACCCTGCTCACCAGTCCCACTGCGTCACAGGCACTGTGAGCTCTAAGTGCACACGTGTCAGGGAGGTTGCCCAGATGACCGGAGTGGCCGCGGGAGCTAGGTGGAATGGAGAGCCCATGTGACTCCACTATAGTTGCTGCATGGAATGCAGTCCCCGTGTTGTCAGAGTCTTATTTTATAAAGAAGTTGGGAGCTGAATTTTTATGATAAATCGGAAAATTTTAAATGTAGGGAACTAATTAAAAACACTTTTGAAAACACCATGTAAGTCAAAAAACATGTGTGCCAGCCAAATTCAACCAAATGATGGATAGGTTGCAGCATTTACAAGGAATCTATAGAGAATCAGAATCATGATTAAGTTTTAAAAATTAGATTTTTTTTCCAAGAAAAAAACTTACTAAATGCGAGGAAATTATTATGGGATGTTGATATGGTAGATGTTTTCCTAATCAATGCTAGAAAACCTTGAGTATAAAAAGCTCTTCACAACGCTCTCCTTTGTTCTCAATCCCCATGCCCACGGGGAGACATGAAGCCCTCTGCTCTTTTTGTCTAGGTTTTATACAAGCAGAACTGGGAAGACAACAAGGATAAGTACCTGCTTCCCCCTGATGCCCCTGAGCTTGTCCATGCCATTAAGAACACAGCCTTGTTCAGTAAGGTAAGGGTCTCTTCTTTGTCACCCCTCTATCGCCTCTGTTTTCCTACCATGTCATCTAGAGGAATACCCCTAAACTCTTGGTAATCTGAAACATGGTTCTCCAGTCTTTTTTGTGAGTAACCCCGAGACCTGTGGGGCTGCCAGGACAGGGCTTGGCAAGGAGGAACTGAGAAGAAAGCCCTGGGCAGAGTAGAGGAGAGGGTCCTATCAGGAACCTGAGCCACTTGGGGGAGGAGTAGGGATGGGGGGACAAAGATGCTCCCGAGGTCCAGCTCTGCAGACCCACGAAGCAATATTTTAGTTTTTCTGTAGACCCTGTGCTACACTTTGGATATTCCTGGCTGTCACTCTTATTAAGGGTCTATTTTGTGACAGAATCTGTATTAAGTAGCTTCCTGGCTCCTTACACCTGCATTAGTACTTGTTGCAGGAGGTAGGTAAAGTCACAGAGAGGAGATGAAACAGAATTAAACTCAGCTGCCCTTCTGTCGGTAAGATTTGTCAGGAGAAGCAGGAGAATCTACTAATAACTGATAGGTAAAGTCACAGAGAGGAGATGAAACAGAATATAACTCAGCTGCCCTTCTGTCAGTAAGATTTGTCAGGAGAATCTATTAGTAACTGTGACTTGGATTGGATGGAAAGGGAGAGGTGATCTGTCAGTTTCATTTACCTTTGCTCTCACCTTGCCCTTGGTTCTTTATGCCGTTGATGGATGAATTGAGAATTCTGTATTTCTTGTTATTGGATGGAAAGGGAGAGGTGATCTGTCAGTTCCATTTACCTTTGCTCTCACCTTGCCCTTGTTCTTTATGTCACTGATGGATGAATTGAGAATTCTGTATTTCTTATGTGATTTCATGTTCTCACAACTTTTCACTCTTTTCTGATATAGAAACTATACACCGAAGAGTGGGATGCAGACAAGAGTTTATTTTACCCCTATCATGACAGCCCGGAGCTGAGGAGGGTTGCCCAAGCCCAGAAAGCTCTCAGTGACGTAAGTGAACTGCAATCAGCACCCTTTGTAGTGTGCAATCGGGCGCCTCAGATTACATCGTCTGGCCAGTTCGTTGCAATTCTTTTGAACAGACTAAATGCCATTATTGCAGAGGAGGACTATATCTAGAATCATACTTTTTATGTCTAATTCAAATTAGATTTTATCGTTTATTTTAGATAGAATTTAGTCCAGTCCCCTTTCCTTACAGGTGAGGCACCTAAGTCTAAGGCCACTAGGTACTTTAGTGGTAGAGCCAGATGGGAAGCCTGGTCTTGTGGATCCCAAGGCCAGTGTTCTTCCCACAAAAGCATGCTCCCGTCTGTCCCCTTGGCTGGAGCTGAAGTTTTCCTGTATAATAGAGTAGCATTTATAAAACCTTTTGGAATCACTGCCACCTTCCCAAGCTTATGAAGTAAGTGATAGTATTGAAAGATTTTGATTTGCTATCCTAATCATAAAGTCAGAATTGTGGCGTGTCCCCCGTTTTCCTGCGTGGGGACTTGACTGACGTACTGGACCAAACATGTGTGTAGTTATCCCACGAAGACCTCTTGCCCTCAGTGTACATAGAGGATCTTACAAAGTTAGCAAACATGTTAGCAGTCCCATTGGCTAGAATTTTAGACCGTGTGAGCTGTTTGTTAGAGGAACTTCAAAGCTCTGATAGAGTCCTTAGGGCCAGAAGCAGCAGCAGCAGAGAGCCTTGCTTGGGCCCAGCACTTCCCCTTGTGTGAAGTGGCTTTATTTCTTTGCCCCTGGATTTGCTAGAGGTCACGCTGAAAATTCAAAGTCTTTAGGAGAGCACTCTATTATAAAATGCCAAGTTGTTTTTCAATTAGCTGTCAGCTAGATCCCTGGAACTTCTTATATTCAACTGAACTTAAAAAGCCAGTTGGCATCTTAAAACTTATTGGTATTTATTTCTGATGGGTCTTAAGATTCTATCTTGCCCTGCACTAAAATTATATATACTCATTTGAAGGTGTTTCCAACTTTGGAGTTCTAATTTTTATTGCCTCTCACTTGTTACCACCTGCAAATTTAGTGGACGTATTTTCTATCTCAGGTTGCATGTAATTGGTTAAAATATAGCAGATATATTCTTATTCTTGCATACGGTAAGCTAAGAACTAAAGAAGGTGTAAAAATTGTAAGGGCAGCTGGTGTGCCAATATTAATGTGTGGGGACCTCCTGCTTTTCTTTTAAGATTAGCTTTTTGCTTCTGTATCTCATGAATATGTAATATAATGTGACCTTTACCAAGTGATCAATAATTAGTTATTGAAAGTCCAATATGCATGCATACCTGGCAGGACAGAAGCATACAACAAGCCTTTTTCATCATTTGCCTTGAAAACCTGTAGCCAAGCTGGTCAGATGAAATTGCTATATATTAAACTACAAGAAAAAAGTTTAAAAATACAAGCTCTACAGTCTTACACTTGCTAAGAGAAAGACAAGACACATGTGAGTAATCAGAGAAGGCCATGTGGAAGTGGTGATTTCAAGAGAATGGGCAGTGATGTACAGGAAGGGCATTTCAAGTAGAGAGCTCTTGAACAAAGGGACAGGGGTGAAATGAGTTTGGGGCTTTAGGGGACTAAGAAAGTGAATGCTGCCCTAACCGTTTTGGCTCAGTGGATAGAGCGTCAGCCTTCGGACTGAAAGGTCCCAGGTTCGATTCTGGTCAAGGGCGTGTACCTTGGTTGTGGGTACATCCCCAGTAGGAGGTGAGCAGGAGGCAGCTGATTGACATTTCTCTCTCATCAATGTTTCTAACTCTCCATCCCTCTCCCTTCCTCTCTGTAAAAAATCAATAAAATATATTTTAAAAAAGAGAAAGTGAATGCTGTGGGTGCCAAGTTACAAGCTCACTTGTAAGAAAGTGGCACCAGGACCTTGACAATCAGGCAAAATAGCTTTGATATGATATGGTAGGCAGTAAGAGGCACATTAAGATTTGGGGGAAATCTCATTATATGATAAAAGTAGAATCTGGAGAAATATTGATGGACAATATGATAGCTTGGAACTAGGCAAATTCATAGGAGACTGTTTGTATAAGACTATTTTAGTAATATAGATGAATCAGAGGGATGATGAGGACAAAGAGTAGGAAAAAAATCTGAAGGTAATAAGTATTTAAAAAGTGTTAATGATATTGGATATTGGAAACAAAAGAGAGAAAGGAGCCACAGATGAATTTATGACCAAGACTGGTGGTCAGGGTGGAGAGGGGCATAACTGGTAAAGATTCATTAGTTAAATAGAAATAGAGTTGAAATAATGGAGGGAACATTCAGATAAAGGCACCCTATGGATAAATTAGAAAGTACTATTGCATAAATGTGAGCTGACAAGAGATTAATATTTGAGATTCATCAAAATATAAGTGACAACTGAAGACATAAAAATGTATGAGGGAGGTAAAGTAGTGTATGACCAAGGGCCGAGTTGTGAAGGACACCCACACTGTGGACATCTGGGAAGGAGCCAGCAAAGAAAGAGGGGACAGATGGTCAGAGAAGTTGAAGGGGAATCAGGAAATGTATGTCATGTAAGCCTAAGGGGAGGTTTCCAAGAAGACACTTAATCTCCTAATGTCTTCCTTTATCCTTAAAGTGGAGACATGAAGGGTTGCCTCCATGCCACTCTAGTGCTAAGGACTTTGAGCAATTAATGTTGACCACATCTTTTGAGATATCTCAGTGGAAGACATAATGAAAGAGAATTATAATAATGACGTAAAATCTTTCCGTCCTTGCTCAGAAAGACTTGGCAGTAACGGTATGCTTTTATTTTGTTACAGACTAAGTATGCAGTAAGTATCAGATTACTGACATACCTATTAATACTGTCAGCATCATGAATTTTTTTACAATTATTGGGCATCAAGCAAGCTGTTGTTCACAGAATATACCACTGGGTAGGCACATAGATTTCAAGCTAAAGGTTTGGTTTCAGAGGATCCTTCTTCTTCTCCTGTATCTTCTTCCTGTGTTTCTCATAACCTTAAATATCATGATTTCTTTATTATCTAAGTAAAGTCTTTATTATCTAAGTAAAGACTAAGTAAACACTAAGAGAGTCCTTTAGCTGATCCAGAACACAAGATTTTAAATAGACAGAATTCTGAGCAAGGTTTCTGAGAAATTAGGACTTCTAGAACTGACTTCTCAGAAAGCTCTTGACAGGATGTCATACTTAATAAACGTTTCTCCTGGAAGAATGTTGCTTTCTCCTTAAGGACTTAACCAGCCATGGAAAATAAGGGTTGTCCTATGCCTAACGTAGGTCTTCACTCATTTAAAAGAAATTATGCACTGGAATAGAATGAATACATTTAAAAACCCATCTCTTGTATCTTACATGATTTAATGTTCATGAAAGTTTTTGTTATAGGTACTAGGTAGATATTATTAGAATGAGATAGAGTTAGAATTGGCTAAAGCATGAAGAAAATGTTGGGACCTTGGAACTATATACAACCTCTTTACTTTATAAATAAGAACACTGCCACGTGAAAGGAGAAATAGTAGGTAGAAGTCTCACAGTTGAGTAGTGAATGAGTCGGGAGGATGTTTCTCCTCTACAGACTTGTCCTGAAGGCCTCAGTGCATAAACCACACATTCAGAGATCAGTCACTGAACCCTTCATGCTGGGGTCCAGCCTCAGCGGGTCCAGGGGTTCCCCAAGGTGTGGACGGAGTCGGCGAAGAATGAATGATACGGAGGCAGTGTTCAGGTGATCATCATAGCCAGGTTCTTTTTTTTATTGTCATCTAGCATCTGTATTTATACTATTTGGTCCCAATCCTATCCATTCTATACAAAAGGCCAGGGGGCGTCCCATCTCCATTCAAAGGTTACTCTATTGCTCCACTAAGCTACAAGGAAGTAACTGAAGGAGGTCACTCCAAGCAAAGATCAAAGCGACCAACCACCCCTCTGGGGAAACTACCTTTCTCAGAGAGGTGGTCCTGTTTAAAACACATAGCTGTTAAGAGGGGAGCAAACATATTAAGAACAATATGCCATATACGCCAGGTCCCTTGAAACATCCCTGCAGGGACTGCCTCAAGCAGCCAGGGTGGATTGGCTTCCAACACCTTCACTCTACTAAGGTACTGTGCAGGCCACAAAGGTTTCCAGGTGATAGGTTATGTTCTTTGCCATCCCAGAGCTCACAATCTAAGGAGGGACAGACATGTAAACAACCAGTTACAGTGTCTTCTGATGATTCCTATAAAGGAGGTAAGGGCTAAGTTGAGTGAAAACATCAGAGAAGGTCATGGAGTCAGGGAGGGCACAGGAGAGGAAACTGCTTGTCCTGAGACCTGGAGAACAAGTCGCAGTTTGCAGGCAGATGGAGAGAAGGTGGAGTTGGGGCATTCCAGGGAAAGGAAGCAGTATATATGGGACCCAGAGACATAGAGGGCTTCATGTGTCTGGGAATCTATGAATGTCCTGCATTGTTGGAAGCAGGGGTCAAGATTGGTGGAAGAAAAAGCCAGAGGAGTCAGTAATGAAGAAAAGGAGAGAGCAAGACTGAAATGGATGCATGATTAATGGACATAATACTGTTTTTAAGGTGAGAGAGGTATTTTATAGGCTGAAAGAAAGGAGCTAATGAAGAGGGAGAGGTTGAAGCTATACAGGAGAGGAGAGGTGACTGATAGAGTTGGGTACAAAGAGCTGCTGGAGGGAACAGTACCCTGAGTGCTGGGCTTATGCCCTGCAAAGGATGCTTCCCCTCTGAGCCATGAGGGGGGTGGGAGAGGCCAGGAAAGATAAGTGTGTACACTCTTTACTCCATGTAAGAGGAAGCTGACGGTAAGATGGAGTTGATTGGGGCTTAAGGATAGTGTTGCAGTTTTTGACTAGCTCTTGGGAGTAGAGGCTGACCAGAGGCACACATGGGATGTTCAAGCTTCCATAAAGGCAAAGAGGACACTGGATAAATTCAGAGTCCTGGGCACAGAGCCCCAAGCAAGCTGTTATTCACAGAATATGTAGTTGGATAGGTAAGTAAATTTCAAGCTAAGAGCTTAGGTTCAAGAGGCTCCCTCTTCCTCCTCTGTAGCTTCTTCCTGTGACCATTTTAAGCTTGCTTATCATGTTATCATTACTCTATCCATAGAGTTTTGAGATTTTCTTCAGTAGCACTCAACATCCTGGATGTAAGAAGTGTGTGGATAAGTTGATCCAGAGCTGGCAGTAGGCTAACGAGTGTGATGGAAAGACAAGAGGTTGGGAGTTGAGGATGCTGCTTAAGAGAATAATTCAGTTGCAGATTATGACGTGGAGTCAAATAGAAGGAAACAGATCTAAGGCCATTCATCTTGGAGAGGAGAGAAAACTCAAAGAGAGAAACCACCAGTAATGCCGAGGGAAGGCCATTTAACATCTACAAGGATAAACTGTGGTTAGGGGTACACTAAAGTTTAAAATTCACATAAAGATAACAGCATAGTCTTTTTAAAATGCCAACAAACGGAACATGAGAAATAGAATCATTATTGATGGCTCATTTACACCCCTTTCTTTTGGTCAGATTGCCTACAAAAAAGGTCACATGGAACAGCAAACACATTTCACATCTCTGGCGGATCCTCCAGATATAATATTTGCCAAGAAAGTGAACGATCAAGCGAGCAAGGTAAGTAAACAAGACTAGAACAGTGGTTCTCTTGAAAACTCTGCTTAATAATTTCAACCTCGCCCTGGCTGGGTAGCTCAGTTGGTTGGAGGGTTGTCCCGATAGGCTAAGGTTGTGGGTTCACATACAAGAAGCAACTAGTAAATGTGTGGATAGGTAAACAACAAATCTCTCTCTCTCTTGCCCTTCTGCTCTCTCTAAAACCAATATATTGAAATTTTAAAAAAACCCACCTCAATCCTCAGAAAAAATAACTAAAATGAAAATATAGAAAGTAAACATTGAGTATTTTTTTTGCATATGACCATAAAAATGCTACAGCAAAAGCAATACATTCATGAACATCATAAAACTGTATTAATATATGTTCAGCCAGCTTGATGACTTAGTGACTGGTAAATATGAAAGCTGTATTTTGAAAACAGAAGCAATGTCCTAATATCCTTTGACATTTGACTTATGGAAGTGATATGAACAGATAACCTAGTAACCACACAGAATCTGTTTTAACCCAGTGTGAAGACCCCATATAGTTTAATGCTCTCAGTCAGACTTGGAGAAAATAAGAATGTATGAGTGGTCTCTCAGACATAGTGTAGGTTGACAGCTGTGGGGAGGGCACCTCATAACTTGCAAGGCCTTGGCAAACGGCCTGGGCAGCCTATATTTAGGCTGGTAAACTAGCTCTGAGGAATGTAGAGAGACAGATGTTCAGCTGATGAATAGATCCCTGTTAAATTCCTTTTTAAAAATTAGTCCAAATCAGGCCACTTTCTCCTGGGATACTGCTGCTTTTAAATAAATACTTTTCTTTGCCCTCTGTGGAGTTGAGTCTCAGTTTGGTCTTAAATTTTTATGTACAGTAAAATGTCACTAATAGGAATACCATGGACCTGAGATTTCGCTTAGGGCTAAGCAGAAATTAACTTCAGAACTGTTCATAAAGAGCTGGCCTACTGAAAGGGTTAACATTGTAAATAAAATCAGGGGAGCAAAGACCATTAATCTCTTTGGAAGAAAAAGAAAAATCTGTTTTCAAATAGTCTTTAGAAAGAAAAATAAATCTATTTTAAATTTTTGTTTAAAGCATATTTTAAAAGATATCTTACTAAGACAACATTCTTTTACCTTATTGAGTTTGAACTGTGGTATTTGAAAGTGATTTTTATGATCACTTTCAAACTCCCCTATGATGAGTCTCTTTACTAAATTAGGCTGCAAAGGGGAAGGCCATACTTCCTCCTCTCTTGTAGTGAAAATCTTCCCAGACGTGGGAGTACTCAGGAATGGATTGTGAGAGAGCCGAATCCACCCGGACCCACTTGGGCTCTGGGTGGGAGGGAATGACAAGCTTTCATTCATGAAGGGCGAGAAGGGGGAAGAACTCTGGATAAGGTAGTCTTCCACTCTAGTTCTGCATCTTGTTTTAATATGTTTAAAAACATCAGACATGTATCTCTTACTGTGAGAATTAATCTCCTACCCAATTTTGCTTAACAAACTACATATGTGATTCTTAGTTCTAAATAATAGCCCACTTTTGGACCTCATTAAGAATCTTTGCTGCCTTCTCAACCCCACATTTTATTACAAAGTTCTCTATATCTCAGTTTGGGGATGCATCGGGCCCAACTGCTCCCCACCCCCAACCCTAGAGTTTTCTGCCCTGGACAGCAGGCAGAGGAATGGCAGTATCTCTGCAATAGGAGATCTTAACCTCTGGTGTGTGCACATCAAAGTATCTCTGAAGTTGTAAGTATTGATGGGCATTTTATAGTTTTTTCAAATTCCTGATAAGGTCTATTCTCCAAAAAGCTTAGAAATGTTTCTGTAGGCTGTCTTAACAAATTGAAAAATCAGTTTTTATTGACTTCCGTTCTTTAAAGCTTCAAAAGAGGAGGGGAGGCAAACTAATCAGCAGTAAAAAGCAAATTTTATCTCAGCAAAACTTTCCATTGAAGAATACACACACACACACACACACACACACACACACACACATTTCTTTTCTTCAGAGTTTCTTACTCTCTGCTATGTTATAATTATTATACCTTACATTTGTTTATCACTATAGAGTTTATAAACCATTTTTAGTGTATGTGTGATATTATTTAAAATCCCCAACAATCCTCTATATACATATTATTGTCAGCATACATGGTTAAGAAAACTAAAGCTTAGAGAGACTAAGTTACACCTTTGGAAATGGTGGAGTCAAGTCGTGGGCCCAGAGCTTCTGAATTCAGGTCCAGGGATCTTAAATGTATAGCTATTAAAACCACTTGATTATTCCTTAGCATATTAACCTTTTGAGAAGGAAGGACATAGGGCATTTGAGAGAGGGGTGGAATTCCTTTAACTCAAATTCACTGTCCTTACACATCAGTTACCCTTAGTACTTGTTCTGCTAAATGTATACGAGAAAACCACTTTCTTTTTCCTTGAAGGGTGTGATGGGGGAGGGGGAAGTTAGGCATACAAACACTTTGAAACACATTGGTTATGTCTGTTAACACATTCTGTGAGCCAAGGAGGGGAAACTGCTCTAACCCAGCTCTGACTCCGGCTCATGTGCCCAGGTTTGGGGTTGGCTAGGCTAATTTAAATAACACTCAAGCCAAGGTCGTTCAAAACCACATACCATGGACTCAGTTCAATTTAGTGCAGACATTTATAAGGTAACGTCTGCACACTGCATTTGTATTAGATTCTGAGGATGCAAAATGAAGAAGACATAACTCCTCTCTCCAAGGCTTTCACAGCCTAGGACGCTGGTGCTATGGTGTTTGGGACCTATGAAGAGATCCCAGTTTAATTTTTTAATTACTTTCCAGTTCTCACTAAAATTTCTTCAAGTCTAAATGAGGAAGTCTTATTCATTGGCCTGCAAGCCACATTTTGTTTTGGTATTGCTTTCTGTATAACTAGAGGTTCTGTTAAAGCTCACAAAGTAATGGCTAAGTTCATTTGGCACGGAAAGCTCGGGTTGAGTGGTTTTATTATAACAATTAATTACAAATGGAAAATACTTCTGCCTCTCTCCTTCCTCAAACATCAGGGAACATCTGTGAGTTCTGAAATGAACGAAGTCCCCACACTCAGTGAGAGGAGGAGGAATTAGTACCTCTATCTCCCTCATTCAGCTTTCTTGTTGGGAAAATTGACACTGTATTGGAGGATTTGAAGACTTCTATTTAAGGACCCACAAAAGGTCTAATCAAGATATATATATATATATTTAAATATATTTTATTGTTTTTTTACAGAGAGGAAGGGAGAGGAAAAGAGAGCCAGAAACATCGATGAGAGAGAAACATCGGTCAGCTGCCCCCCACATCTCCCCTCACTGGGGATATGCCCGCAACCAAGGCACATGCCCCCGACAGGCGTCGAACCCGGGACCCCCCAGTCCACAGGCCAACGCTCTGTCCACTGAGCCAAACCGGCCAGGGCAAGATATTTTGAAAGCTAACCATTACCACTTGATTTGCACTCTTACTTGTTAAATCCTGGATTTTGCTTGTCTTCTTTTCTGCCAGCTAAAATACAAGCAAGACTATGAAAATAAAGTCAAAGGCAAATGGAGTGAGACGCCTTGCTTTGAAATTGCAGCCGCCAGGACAAATGCTGATAACTTCAGCACAGTAAGTAGAAAGGGAGGGCTGGATAGCCCTAGTCGGAGAGGGGGCCCTCCCTTTATGATTCCTAGCCACCTGCTGCACCCGGAGTGGTACTGGAAGACCTATGTCCCGGCACCTCTTCTTGGGGACAAGGCTCGTGTAGAGTTCCTTTTAAGAAAAGAAATACCACAATCTTTCTCTTTCTTTTTTTGAGAAATATTTTTTTGATCAGATACCATTATTCTTGCTTCAATTCTCATAGGAACAATATGCTCTCAAAGTGAATACCGGTAAAAGGGGCCCTTTTAAATGTATTCTTTGCTGGGAATCTAAACAGTACATTTATGAAACTGATTGGTTTCTTCCCAGATTGTCCTCACTGGGAAACAGAAGTCCTCTTAAGGTCTTTGTCCCCAGCCTTTGAGAGCCTCTTCTTGGAGTCTGCCTTTCACCTATTGTAAGGGCTCCAAACCTCTGTTAAGTTGCTAATTGTTTTGGCGATGGCACCACGTTCTGTAATTGTAATGGAACATGTGTGAACCAAGAGGGGCATGGCATTGGGTATCTGCTCTAAATGACCTCTGTCTCCCCATGTAAAAGCCTTAAACAGTTTTTCCCCACAGAGTTCTTCAGTATGTTTCATGTCTTACAGAGGAAATATCATGAAAAGTTTGAGAACATGAAAGACCAGATCTACTACATGCAGACGGAAACACCAGAGTACAAAGTGAATAAACAAGCCGGGGTGGCAGCTAGCAAGGTACGAGGAAATTCTCTCATGTATCTTGATCATCTCAGCGTGGGTGAACTTCTTATAACTCTTGTTTTTATATGTAATACAAAAAAAAGGGTTCTTAAGGGACAAAAAGTACTTTGGGATTGTAATAGGGCTACCAAATTTAAAAAAAAAAATTTTTTGCTGTGTATGAGCATTAACAATAAATAGTTACCGTACTCAAATCTCATCTAGTAGAGGACTTTTGATACTCAGAAGTAGAAATGCTATAATCTCAGACATAACACAGAAGAGGGGTCTTAAAACCCCCTCAGGAAAAGGCAGTTGGCAGTCTCCCATGAATATAGACCCTTCCACACTCACCACTACCATTATTTTTCTTACATTCCAATGAACTGGTGGAAATCTAGTCATAGACAATATACATGAATCCATGGATAGGCGCAGACATGCAATGGAGTGACTTTGGTAAACCATCAGACGCCTTGGAATTCTAGAGCAGGTTGGGCACTAGAAAGAGCATAAACTGCAAAGCCAAACAGACTTGATTCTAACCCTGGCTTTGGCTCTGCTGGAGGAGTGAGAGAAGAAAGATCACATAATGTAAGAGGCTGTTTCAGTATCCAGGTGCAAAACAGTGAGGTTTTCACCCAGTTGGTGTGGTTCAGTGGTTGAGCATTAACCCATGCACCAAGAGGTCACTGGTTCGATTCCCAGTCAGGGCACATGCCTGATTGCAGGCTCGATCCCAGGTAAGGAGTCTGCAGGAGGCAGTCAATCGATACTGATGTTTCTCTCTAATCAATGTTTCTATCTCTCCCTCACCCTTCCTCTCCTTCTAAAATAAATTAGAACATATTTAAAAACAAACAAACAAACAACAACACAGTGAGGTTTTCAACCAGGTGGGTAAGTAGGACAAGTGATGAGAAGTATTTTGCCAGTTGAGCTGACTCAATTTGATATTGGGTTGGATGGGCAGTATGAGAGAAAAGTTTGGCCTAAACAACTAGATGGATGGGGTTTCTTTGTATCCAGATAAGAAAAACTGTGAAAGCAGTGAATATATATAATTTTTTTTCAAGAGAGACTTGAGCTCAATTTCAAACATGTAAGAGATGCATTTTAGACATCCAAGTGGAAATGTCAAGTGGGCAGTTGATTACATGAGTCCGAAGTTTCAGGGCAGCTGTCTGGCAAGGTTGTATAAAGTTGGGAGTTATCAGCATATGGATAGTATTTAATGTCATAACGTGGAGGCCATCAAGGGAATGAGTGGGAAATGTCTAAGACTGAACTCTGGAGTGTTCTATGTGAAAACATCAGTGAGATGAGGTAGGAGCAAAGTCCAGAGAGTGATTTCTTGGGAAGCAAATGGAAGGAGAAGGCAGGGATCAAAGGTATCACATGTTTCTGAGATGGATTTATCAGGGTATAGTCCCTGGTGAATTTCATGAGAGCAATTGAGTTGAGTGAATGAGAAGAGAGAAATAGAAAAATAGGAATATACTCAACTCTTTCAAAGTATTTTGCTGAAAAGAAAAGAAGAAAATGAATGAATGTATGAAGTGGGGACTTCCCCCCCCCCCCCCAAGAAATATATAACTCTATGAGATAGAGAGAGGTTGTCTTCCGTCCCTGGTGAGCCCCCTGTGTGGTCTGTAGGGGGCAGTGCATCTGGTTTTCAGTTGTGTATCTCCTGCCTTTGGATACCAAGCTGATTGCATTTGTTTCCTGGGGTTCTTAAATGTTGATAGATTATCTGGGATTCTTTGAGCTCGTCTATATTCATTCCACGGTTATACTGGCTGAACAATGGCTGGCCTTAGGGATTATGGTCAGAACTGGGACCATTTTCTCCTTCTCCTCTTTGGGACATGTTCCTGACAGGGGCTTGTGAGCCCTCATGTAAAGCCTCTGCTAAAGCTGGAGTGAAAGGTGCAAAGAGGGAAGGACAGAGAGAAAGGTTGAAGTTGCCACCATTCGTCCCAACCCCAACCCCTTCTTCCTCTCCTGTGTGTACCTTAAGTACATGCTTGCTCAACGCATAGCCACAGATGAGACATAAAAGAGCAGGTTCATGGTGCTTTCTTTCTTTAAAAATGTGTTGGTGGATAGGCAGCTGGACGTTAAGAGCTGAATGAGGGTTTTGGAGCAGCAGGCACCTGGGATATGTGCTGTCATTATTTGTGTATCTTTCTCTCCCCCATTATTTGTGTATCTCTCTATCTACCTCTATCTTTTAGGGCAGGGACCATATGTTATTCTTTCTTGTATGTGTCCCAGAGCCTGGCATGTAAATTGATACTGAAAAATATCATAATGGAGATTTTTGAATGAATCAATGAGTGGGAAGAAAAGATATCTTGGAAATGTATGCAGTTTCTCTGCTCCTTTTATGAGTTTCTATGAGTATTTTGTTTATAAAAAGTCAAGCTGCCATTTTTTCTAGAGAGAAAATTGATTTGTGGAACTATGTTATAATATTCATAATAAAGAGGAGAGCAAAAATAACCTGTAGAGTTTATCACTTTGTTTCACTCCCACAGGTAAAATACAAAGAAAACTATGAAAAGGATAAAGGGAAAGCAGATTATAATGTACTTCCTGCTTCAGAGAACCCACTGCTGAGGCAGATGATGGCAGCAGGAAATACGCTAAGTGATGTAAGTATATTCTTATCAAAAAGTGTGTGTGTGTTTTTTTAACCTTAGCTGAAAGAGAGACAAACTCTCTCTTTTTCTATTGTGACTAAATGCAAATATAACCTTGAAAATGCTTTAAGGTCCTGGTGCAGCAGTTCCCCTGGACCCATCTAACCACAGGAAGGCCTTGCTGCCTCTGAGCATGATGTGTCAATCTGTGGGTGTGGGGACTGTGGATCAAGTTCATGGGCAGCAAAATCCTCACTTGCTTCTAGGCTGCATGTGCCTGAGCCTCCCTGACTAGAGTCCATTGTAGGAGACGTGCTGTGTGCTTTTTGACGGAGGCAGAGGAGATTTTAAAAGGGGAGGATTGAGGGAGAGAGAGATGACGCAGCTCTGTGCCCTGCCTGTGGGTTCCTCAGGCCGGCTGCTGGGAAAAGGAGGAAAATGCCCCCAGTTGTACAGCTGCTCCCCCAGCTGTGCCATTGTCTCCTCAGATCTTGGCCACAGAAACCGTCACCTGCAGACAGCAGGACTTAGGAGACCGCTCCCTAAATCTTCACAGGAATGACTCCTTGGGATTGTTAAGAGCTTTACTAATCCACTCGGATTAAAATGGATTAGATAAGTAAGAACTGGGCCTGGCATTAGCAGCCCCAGTCGACTTTGACTGTATATTTCAAGAGACTGAACACGTGATCAGTTGAGTTTTTCCCTTATGGTTGGGTTATATTAAGTTTTCCCAATGTTTGAGGATTATATGTGGCTCTCTGGGCGGGTTCATTATCTTTTCTGTGTCCCTTGGGTTGTCAGCACCGTGGAAATGAACACATGTGATTGAGAAGTGGGGTGAGTGAGTGACAGGGGAGAGAGTGTAGATGGCTCTGTCCATGTAGCTCGCTGGGGAAATGAACGCACATCTCCTGCTTCCTACATGAAGGCCATCTTTATCAAACATATAAAAGCCAAGGTTTAAACCCACTCCGCTGATACAGGCAGGAATATCAAAATATTAAAAAAGAATAGCATCATTCACAATTGCAAAACCCGACAGGAAAAATGGACAGCCGCCTGTGTCTCAGCTGTGCCTCTGCACTCCGATCATTGCTTATGGTCATTGTCACAGCGAAAGAGAAATCCCAGTGGGGAAGAGGCTTTAGTTGATTCGTGATATGAGTTCTTGTATATACTTTATTTTTATGGTACAGTACACAGTTTTCCTTGGTAGGAGGAGGAAGAGAGAGTGTGTATTTCTCAACATTTACTAAAGTCTCTCATGAAGGTTTGTTTAAAAAAAATGAAAAATTCGCTGTTGCCCAGATACTCCTGTTCGCTGTGGCCCCTGTGGTGAGGGAAAGGTTTGTGAGTTGGGAGACAGAGAACAGCAATTCAGAAATACGCAAGAATCTCCGTAACTGAGGGTTGCTCTGAGGCAGCTTCCTGGTTTCTTAATTTTTTGAAGGACGTTAAAAACGTAGGCCTCACAATAATTGCTAATAGAAAAGACTTATCACTCATGACACCCCCAGCATCTAATTGTCAGTTTTTAGGGCAGTTAATAGGCCCTATTTTTTTTTCTTCTTCTTTGGTTTAGTGTTGGAAAATACGAGTGCTATCGTCAGCACGGGAGTGACAGGAGTCTAACTAATTTTTCTTGTGTACAGAAACGGTATAAGGAGAACTATGAAAAGACAAAGGCAAAGAGCATAAATTACTGCGAGACCCCCAAATTTCAGCTGGATGCAGTTCTGCAGAAATTCAGCAGTGATGTAAGCGATCCTACGACTACTCCTGTTAAAGAAAAGACCCATCATTTCACAAATAAGTAAATGAAATGCCTTGTTTTTCAGACTAAATATAAAGATTCCTACCTAAAGAATATTTTGGGGCATTATGTAGGCAGCTATGAAGACCCATATTACGCACACTGCATGAAAGTCACGGCTCAAAACAGTGACGTAAGTTCTAAGACAATTGCTTCACTTTCCAAATAACATGAACACAATACAATGGTTGCATCCTTATGTCGATTTCTTTTCCTCATAGAAAAACTACAGAGCAGAATATGAAGAGGACAGAGGCAAAGGCTTCTTCCCGCAGACCATAACTCAGGAATATGAAACTATGAAGAAACTGGATCAGTGTAAGGATGTAAGTCTGTGGTGTGAACTGTGGACCTGACTGCCCTCCATGGCATCTCGTGGTCAAGATACGTTCAAAATTCTGACACTTTTACAAATAAATGCAACCCAAAAAATTGAAAGAAAATTTACATTTTATAGTAGGTATACTATTTTTTTTTCTATCATCCATACATTTCAAGAGCTAATTTTAGCTGATTTTCCCCAAGAAGAGTTGTTGGTCATCTGAAGATATGGGAGAGTTTCTTGTGCAGTGTAAAAGTGTCTCTCACAGACACCGCAGTCTAATTAGAAAAAAATAAGTGTTTTATTAATGAAAGGTATCTTTTCTTTTGGGCAGTGGGGTTCTGCTCACCCGTCCTATCGGCCAATGTGGTTTTGACAGGTGATATTGCTAAACCCTATTCCTTTCCTCGCCCACAGCACACCTACAAAGTCCATCCAGATAAGACAAAATTCACTCAAGTCACCGACTCGCCTGTTCAGCTGCAAGCCCAGATCAACGCCAAACAGCTGAGTGATGTAAGTTCCTCTGCCCACCCAGGCAATGCAGTTGTGAGGGACAATGTAGCATAACTCTATACAGAAAACCCAGTCACTTGTCACAGTTACACAAAATGCTATGTAAGTTGTGTATTTGTGTAATCACCTAAAATATTTTCCCATTTAGTTGTCTTTTATCTTCTGCATCTTCTTGGGTGGATAATTCTAGTAAAATGGTTCTATAACGGAGACTGATATAGCTCAATGCCCTGAAGAGATCATGAGTTCTGAAGTCAAAACTGGACTCAAATTCCAGCTGTCTAGGCAAATCATTTAACTTCTCAGGCCTCATATTTCCTTTTTAAAACTTGTGGTTGTTTTGAAAATTAAGTGAAAGGAGATATGTGCATAGCCCACATCCTGGCCCAGAGCAGGTATTTAACACCTGGGATTTTTCTCCCTCGAATAAGTTTTTGGAAAATGGAGTGTTTGTGATAAGTTTTATTATCTAAGTTTTGAGCATGAATTTCCAAACTTGTGTTGAACTAAAAAATAAAAGTAACCTCAGACATATGGCCAGAAATGAAAGGCTTTAATTAGAGTATCAACAAACCATAATGTTTGCACAGGGACATAACCATACAGGGTAGGGCAAAAGGAGGCTTACAGTTGTGAGTATGCAAAATATTACTTATTAAGTATTGTATTATTTTCCACATAAACAAACCTACTTTTGCCCCTTCCTGTCCTTGTAAGAAAAGATTTGAAAGGGCTGTCACTCTCAGAATCCACAGGGCCAATTGTGATCTATGGGAAAGGGACCTCCTTCCACTTGGGTCCTTCCGGGGTAACAGATGTGACAACAGCAGTCGTGCGCCCAGCACACGGTTGTCAATAATGCGAGGTAACCTACCCTCGCTCCAAATTTCTCTTTTAATCTTAACAACTTTGTCAGGTGTTATTTAACAAAATGTATTTTACATTTTCTTTGATGAAAATTAGTTTTGTACTTAGGATAATTCTTCCAAACTAATCCTCTCTCTCTCTCTCTCTCTCTCTCTCTCTCTCTCTCTCTCTCTCTCTCAGCTAAATTACAAAGCAAAACATGAAAGTGAAAAGTTCAAGTGCCATATACCTCCAGATACTCCCGCCTTTATCCAGCACAGAGTCAACGCTTATAACCTGAGTGATGTGAGTTCCTTGCCGCTATGCCATGCAATATACTGACAACTGCTGCTTTTATTTTTTAACTGTTTCACTAAATAAATATAATGCTAAAGATGGGATGAACAGTTAACGTTTGTATCCTGTTCCTCTGCCTCTGCCAATGTAACTTTGACTTTACCTTATAAAATGTGTGTAGCAATCATGTCAGTAGCTTCATACAACTAGACTGTCCTAATAGATTTTAACCAGCCTTCAAAATGCCACCACTTATGTGTGTCTAATTGCAAATTTAATGTTAGATCGGTTAGTCATATATTCATTTGTATTATACTATGTTTAATTTTCTTCCAGGGTTTGATTTTTTAAAAGATTGAGCATTATTTCATTTATTCCCCAAGCCCATAATGTTTCTAGTTTCACGTGAATAATCTCATTTCTACACGTAAGAGTACTGGCGCTAAGGAAGATATAAGGTATTCAAAGGCATAAGGCCAGGTATCCAGTGCTATCTTTTATTTCCAGACTTAATTCTATAGAAAAGTCAAATTACCCTTAGGGGTTTCCATTTCTTCAACAATCCTATAAATAAGTGCTAGTATTACCCAGCATCAAAGAGTACTATAATAATTCATAAAATAACCTTTGCAGATCAAATTAAAATGATGCCTTTAATACCACAAAAAGTT